TATTTGTTATATTTTTGCATTCATTTACTTCGTTTTTATCTAATTTTTTTATTAGTTATAAATAAACAAATAAATATGATTTAGTGAATTAAATGAACATTTTAAAACTTAAATGTTTAAAAAAAATAGTTTTGCCTATATAGACATTCTAGATAGAGATAAATCTCCCTACCTATATAATAGATTTATTTGCATTCATAGTATATACATGATATTTATAATACAAGAGTTCATTATACATACTGAACCGGTTTTTCATCCAACATTTATTTTAACATCTGACGTTGCCCATTAGTTAATTTCGATACCAAAGACCAAAAACCTTCGACCAAATATTTGCTTCGCCAAGAAAACTCGCTAAAGCCCTCCTTACACTTTTCAAGCCTCGCCAAAACCGGAATCAACTCGTTCGATTTAGCCATTCTTGCATTAATTTCTTCGAACCTTATCTTGATCAATCTCATGACCGAGAAGCAATCTTGTATCATTAGTTCTTTCATCTCAACAACAATTTTGTTCAGTTTCGATTTCGGGATTTCTGGACGACCACTTATATGTTCAAATAGGTCCACTAAGAAGTCAATTTGTTTGAAAATACAATCAGTTGTGTAAGATGAGACTCGTTGAGAATCTAAACGCTTATCTTCTGAATTTTCTTTTATGTTTGGGGTAACGCCTAAAACCTCCGCAATAGATAAATAACAGTTTAGATATTGTTTGTACCTATTCAAAATAAACAGTTTTTAGTAGATTTATATGAGTATATTCGATCAAATTGTGATTCAAACATGTATCGTAAACAAACAAAAATAAGAAAAATAATATATTGTAGAATCCCAATCAATCTTTCTTCAAGCAAAAATATAACCATTATATGAATAACCTTACCATTGAACCCATGGAGACAACTCTCTAGTAAAACGAGAATTTACATTAAGATCATTCAATTTAAGATTACTCCCTCCTTGATCATAAATCAAATTACGATGACCATTATCGTCACGAAAACTATCTTCTCCTTTATACTCATATTCTGATTTAATCATCTTATGGAGAAGGATGAGACATTTAGCAGCGACACACACGTCGGTCGTCAAACGCAGCCTCTGCACGATCGTGACGACGGTATCAGGACCATAACACGTGTCAACCGTTGATTGGAGGAAAGTGACGTATTTGTCTGACGGTGGTTTGTGTGAGGTATGAGCCGTGGCTTTCAAGAGAGCTAAGTCAATGGTTTTGGCATTCACGGAGCTACACAAATGGACCACGTTGAGTTTCATTTGCGAGGCTTCATCTTTTAATATGCCACTTAAGGTTGTGAGTTTTCCCATTTGATTAATGTTGTTTGTTTTGTTTGATCCAATGTTGCTTATGAAATGTTTGGATCTTTAGCAACGTGTGTTTGCTTTTTATAACATTTCAAGGTCTCG